GACCCTGTCCTTCAAGCATAAGCCCCATGCCTGATGTACTACAAAAGTAACGCAGTACCCTCTGCACAATCCTATAGTGATTAGGGCGGAATCTCCCAGGCGCAACGTAGTGTGCCAGGATGCTGAGAGGGTACGCGAGGTTAGGTCGAGAGCACGTCATCAGGTATATGAGGCAGCCCACAAGCTCTAGATACAGACCTCTCAGATCTACGGACTCGTCCGAAGGTGGAGGTGAGAGCGAGTAGCCTGTAGGAAGAGGAGTGGCTTGTGGCGAGGAGAACCGAAAACAGAAGCGCGACAGGACCTGCTGCACCTTGTGTGACTGAGTCACAGTGATGGTGCGCGCTGCTCTGTCCCGGGTGATCTGCAAGCCAAGACAGTTGTGCAGCTCACTTAGGTTAGTGCAGGTGTGTCTCTTCTACAGCTTCGCCTTCACAAGGGCAAGTGCCTCAATGTCAGCAGTACCAAAGACCAAGTCGCCGATGTACACGGGGGTGTAGAACGATGGCAGAGAAGGGTCGGTGCGCAGAAACAACGATGGGTCAGCAGTCGAAGGAGCAAACCCAAGAGCCGCAAGATTCGTCCCCCCCCCTCCCTCCTTCCCTCCCATCCCCTTCCCCTACAGATGGAAGTAGAAGTGCGTATATTGTGAGGCAAATCAGTGCCCCACACGCTCTTGAAAGAGGTCGCTTCACTCTCTGCAACCACGCTGCTGCTTGGGGGGGCAGGGGCGGAAGGGCAAGGGCAAGGAGAACGCGCAAGGAGAAGGGGAGGGTGCACGGGAGGAGAGGCGGAGGGGGGAGGCTGCAGCAGTAGGCGCAGCAGTAGCAGGGGTGGCAGGGATGAGTGTGGTTGGAGGGATGTAGGTCGGCAAGTCAAGGTGAGATTCTTTCAACTGCCGCTACCACCACCGCAGTAGCAGTTGCAGGTACCCCTTTTAGGCGCCTAAAAAAAGCAGGTGCTCCAGCAGCAGGGGTGGCTGGGATGAGTGTGGTTGGCGGGATGCAGGTCGGCAAGTCAAGGTGAGATTCGTTCATTCACAGGAGCAACAGCCACAGCTGCAGCAGGGGTGGTAGGGATAGATGTGGTTGGCACGATGCAGGTAGCACACATTTACTACAGAGAAGCGTTGTTGGAGTACCTCCAAGGATTTTTTTTTCAACGTGTCGTGCCACTCACGGGGCGCCTTGCGGAGACCGTACACCTGCCGCCAGAGGCTCCACTGGGTACCCTTAGGAAACGACCCAGTGAAGCCTGGTGGAAGGTGCAGCCAGATCTCCTCGTGAAGGCTTCCCTACAAGAAAGTTGTGGAGAAGTCAAGAGAGTGCAGCTCCTAGTCACGTTGTGCTGCAACGTGCAGTAACACCCGAAGAGTGATCATCTTCAGGGTGGGGGAGAAGGTCTGGACGAAGTCGACCCCCTACTGCTCACTGAAGCCTCATGCAATGTAACGCACCCTGGAGACAGGCGGAGAACCCGGCGGCCGCTTCACCCTGAAAATCCACGTGCTGTTTGCCACTGAGAGGAGTACTGAGCTGAGATCGCCTTTGCGTAGAGCGCGGGGTCGAAATGTCTAGTGCATCCGGATCTCTCTCAGGGGCAAGTAGCATGGCAGCAAGATCAGGTACAGCAGCCACAAAGCACTCAAGCTCAAACTGCCTGTCCTCAAGGACGTCACAGCCAAGGCAAACTCACCCCCGACGAACAGAGGATAGTCAGACTCTGGAACATGACTCGTGAGGTAGTCAAGACGGCAGGCAGGCAGCAGTAGAGGTAGACGCAGCACCAGACTCAAGGTAGGGCCAATGACAAGTGTAGCCAGACAACGAGTGACAGTCGGACTGGCAGCACAAGCAAGGTTAGACTCTGGGTCCGGAACGTCAAGAAGAGAGGACACTGGAGGAGACGGCAGGGCAACACACCATGGAATAGTGGAAGGACGAACTGCCATAGTGTGCATGCTGGGGACAGGCGGAGGACGAACACGACGAGCACGACGAGCACGACGAACAGCGCAAACAGGCGAGGCAGGACGAGACGTCGTCTCACGACGCTCTGTCAGGGAGTCTGTCTGCTCAGTGTAAGGAGAAGGAGCACGCAGAGGGGAGTCAGTCAGTAACTGGGGCTGAGACAAGTCAGGTGGTGGACCCAGTAAGGAAGGAGTAGGGCCAATGGAAGAGGGAAAACCTGACGAACCGCCAAGCTGGGTGGTGGCAGCGACGACTGCGGCTGTGGCCAGAAAAACGGTCACTGCTGCACAGGCTGCGCATCACCCCCAACACTAGAACCTCCAGTACCTCCAGCTCCAATACCTCCAGCTCCAGTAGCTCCAGCCCGAGTACCTTCATCTCCAGTACCTCCAGTACCAGCACCTCTAGCACCAGGACCCCCAGCACCTCGTGCTCTAGTACCTCTAGTGCCTCTAGCTCCAGAGTCAACAACCATGGGCTCAATACCTCCAGTGTCAGCACCCTCACGCTCAACACCCCCAGAGTCAGCACTCCCAGGCTCAGCACCCCCAGACACAGCACTCCCAGACTCAACTGTAGCGTCGAGAGAGTCTTCTGCTGACGTGACGGCAGTTGTTGTCCAATGCCAGGCGCAACACCTCCACGCTCAGCACCCCCAGGCTCAGCACCCCCAGGCTCAGTATCTCGAGATCAGTACCTCCAGCGTCAGCACCCTCAGAGCTCACACCTCTAGCGCCACCACCTTTAGCAGCACCGGAGTCCACGGCGACAGGCTGCAGAGGCGGCGAAGACGGTCGAGGCTGAAAGCCAGGAGAGGTCTCCAAGTGTGGGGAGCGGCGAGAGTCCGCAATGTCATCGGCAGCAGGGTCACCCCCCTCATCCGGGCCATAGGAGACCTCCAACGGCTCAACCAAGGGGGTTGGTGTGACCTGCAACACACCTGAGGGAGCAGGACGCGAGGGGGGGTAGAGGTCTACTTGGGGGTAACTTGGATCCAGGAAGAGGGGCGGCGGGGGGACAGGAGAAGACACGTGGGGGAGGAGATGGTAGTAGCAAACCGACTCATCAAAGGTGACGTCCTGGGAGGACAGGGCGCGACGCATGGCCGGGTGGTTAAACTGCCAGCCCAACGCGTTGGTGGGAAAGCCGAGGAATACGCAACGAACGGTGCGAGGAGAGAGCTTGTCCGCGGTGGTATCGCGAACAAGGGCAAGCGAACCCCAGACCCGAAACGCCGACGCGTCGCCAACCTTCCTCTTCCAACGCAGTGTAGGCGAGGTCTCTGGCTTGGAGATACGAGGTCAGAGGTTGAGCTTATGAGCGGCGTATCGGACCGCAAACGGCCACAGAAAATGGGGAGAAACCTCATGGATCATGGAGGTGCAAGCAGCCTCCATGACCAAGCCAACGCGGTGCTCAACAATCCCACTCTGCTGTGGAGAAGTCGGAAGCGTGAACGACTGGGTGATGCCCTCCTCACGACAAAGGTCATCAAGAAGACCGGAGGAAAACTTGGCTCCTTCGCCTTGCGCCCATCGCCTTTCAGGTCCACCAGCGCGCGCTCCTCCATCTCCCCCTCCTCCTCCCACGCCCGTTCCCCCTCCTCCTCCGCCTCCCCCCCGAACTCCCCCAGCACGTTCCCCCCGCCCTGCGCCTTCGCCTCCACCAGGTCCTTCAGCTTCACGCCCTGCGCCTGCGCCATGCCTGCCTTCGCCACCATGCGCCGCACGATATCTCCCCCCGCCAGCGCCGCCCCTCCGCCGCGCGCGCCCTCGGCGTGCGCCAGCGCGCCGTCTTCCGGCAGCAGGTCGCGGTCGCCGGAGCCCTCCACGGAGATCTCGCTGCAACTCTTCCGCCGAGCCACGTCTATAGGTTTGGGCCGCTCCACCACGAGGCCCTGAACCTGCAGCCTCCCCGCGCTCGCCGCGGCCAGGTCTGCATCGCGGGGGGGCTGGCGGCGGGGCGTGCAACCAGGGGTAGCAGAGCCAGAGTGCGCCGCGTGGATTCCGTAACCCGCCTTGTGCGCGCCGCCGTGCCAGCGGGATTGCAATGAGGCGCGCGCGGAGTGGTGGTGCGATGAGGAAGTCATTGGGAACGCACTTGTGTAGGTGCTTCTTGACGAGTCACGGCACTTGCTAGCTGTGCTGGGTGCAATGGCGTGCTCCGCACTGACTTGCCTGCTCACTTGGGCTTGCCTTGTGACGCGGCGCGAGCGCACGGTTGATGAACGCAAGAACGAGGCTGGCGGGGAGACGGCGGGAAGCGGGAAATCCGCGGGGGATGACGGCGGGGGGAGAAGCAGTACTATGCTGGAGACTACCGGCGTGCTGCCAGTGCCAATCGCAGCTACTCTTAAGCGGCCCGCGCGTCGTCGCAATGCTTCCAGTTCATGGCAGCGCGGCGGCGGCTACATGGGTGGCACGGGTCGCCGCAGGGCAAAGCAGCCCGGTGGGCCGAATGTGAGGGCGCGCGCTGCGTGGTGCTGCGTGGACTCAACGTTCACCTTGTGCTAGGCGGCCAGATGGCCTTTCTTGGACGCCCATCGCACGCGTAATAAGGGCCTTTCGTCGGCAATTGACGCTATGAGTGCACTTGTGCAGAGAAGGATTCGAAATGTGAGCGTGGATGAGTAGTGAGTGGAATCGGGGGAAAGACATGCACGCTCGCATTTCCCAAGTGTTGGGTTGGCTTGTATTGGAGGGCGAGGGGGATGTACAGTTATATCACCAACTTCTCAAATCCCTAAATATTTTTGTAACTTCTGATCGAGGTTCGGGTTGGTGATAAAACTGCGCCTCGTCCCCTTTGAATGATCCACGTCTCCATTCGTACGCCTCACCGCGCATCCTCTCCTCGCAACACACACCACCGCGCGGCTCCGCACAGGCTACGTTCATGTCGCCCGCATAGGAGATGGTGAATGGGGATGCTCTGCCCCTCCGATTCCGCTATAAGCCGCTCGATACAAGCACAGGCAGCTCGCTGCCGAGCCACCAACAGCCGTTCAGCTCCGTGACCGTTCCGCGCAAAATGCCGCCGCACGCGCGGACCAGCGCCGCGCGGAGAGCGGTGGGCACCGCGGGTTCCGCGCGCAGCATGCGGTACTTCCCGCTGGTGGGCCCCGCCGTGCTCGGCGCGCTGTACCTGCTCTCGCTCCTCGCGCGACGGGGGGCGAAACCCGCCGCCGTCGGCGCAAGCACGCAGTGGTGAGTGGCGGCGGGGCTGCGCGTGTGGCGGCAGAGGCGGGCGGGCGTTGCGGGGGCGGGCGGGGCTGGGAGGGAATGCGCGTGCAGGCAGGGGGGTGGGGTGACGGGGAAGGGGAGCGCGCACGAGCGGCGATGCGGTTATCGCGGAATGCGGAGTGGCGGAGGGAGGCGCGAGGAAGGCGGGGAGAAGGAGGGGCGGGAATGGTGGGTGGTGAGGAGTGTGATGTGGCAAGTACTGGACGCTGAATAGCTGCCTCGCAGCGGGCAACTGGGAAAATTGGGGAATGCGGAATGTGAGGAATTGGGAATGCGGAATGTGGGGAATTGGGAATGCGGAATGTGGGGAATTGGGAATGTGGTAATTAGTGTGCTACGCTTTTGGCTCTCTTACTTCCAGCTGTCTAACTCCCCTTCACCCAACCTCCCCCTCCCTTCCCCCCTCTCAACCCGCCTCTCCCACCAGGCTATCCATCGCCTACCACCCGTCGGGCGACGGCCTTCTGCTGCTACTCGCGCCGCCCGCCTCGTCCGCCACGCCCCTCCCCGCGCACTCCCCCCTGCCGGAGCGGCGGCAGCAGCCGCTGCAGCTGCCGGTGGTGGAGGTGGGGGGGGCGCGCGTGCAGGGGCTCGTGGTGGACGGCACTGGGCGCAGCGCCACGTGGCAGGCAGGCGGGGAGGCGGAGGGAGGTGAGGGAGGTTGGAGTGGGTGTGTGCACTGCATGCCACAATGCGTCCTCACCAATGCCCCTGACTTTGCCCATCGCTTTCCAATGCCTCCACCACAACCGCCCTCTCACCGCCCTCTCACCGCCCTCTCACCGCCCTCTCACCGCCCTCTCACTGCCCTCTCACCATCGCAATAATGTCCTACTGTCTCTCTCTGTCATTCCACCTTGACACGAACAGCCGAGTTGAGCCAATGCTTGTGGTGGGACACTGGAGGGTTGGGGTTTAGTGCCTAATGGGAGATGCCACCACATCTTAAGAGCCATACGTTTTCTCGTCTCACCGCGCATGCATGCCGTCTCATCTCCACCCCTCCCATCTGCTCTCGTCTCCACACATCTTGTCAGTAGGTAGAACTCCTTCTACGCTAGACAATAGCATACCGTGGGCCGAATGGTATTGGCCTTGTTGTGACTAGCCTGATCGCATGCGTTCTCACCAATGGTACTCGAGTCACTGATCACCAATGGTACTCGAGTCACTGATCACCAATGGTACTCGAGTCACTGATCACCACAGAATATCTGCCTTTGAAGGTAGTACACTCGGCTCGTTACTCGAACAAGGCGAGAGTGGGTGTGCTCACTCCACATTGAAATCAGGCTCCACTCGACTCGACTCAACTCGATGATTGACTTGGAGGCGACTCGACACTTCACTCACTCATGCGCATGTGCAACTGCCATCCACCCATGCGTGTAAATCCCCTGCAACTGCAGCCCAGCCCGCCGGGCAGAACGCCTCTGCTGCTGCTGCGCTGCCGGCGGTGGCGGTGAGGGCGAGCAGGCTGAGCGAGCACGCGGTGGTGGTGACGTGGGAGGTCACCACGCCCCTGCTCTTCCCCGATGGCGTTGACTTCACCCTGCGGGTGAGCAGCGGGTGTGTGGGGTGGGGGGGAGTAGTGAGAAGAGGTGACAGGGACGGTGGAGGGTGAGGGGAGTTGCTAGTGGCGCTCGTGCGGTGCGGTGCTGTAAGTGGCGGGGCAGCATCTGCCATGCGCACTCATCGCTCCTCTTCTATGCCTGCCCACATGCTGCCAAGCCTTGGTACTCGTCAGTACACCCTTGCTATGCAGTATGTGCTCCCTTGCTATGCAGCATGTGCTCCCTTATGCACCATCTTCTATCTTACCGCTTCCTGCTCCCGTTCTGTCCCTTACCACCACCCCATCCTATCCTCTTAGATAGCAGACAATGCATCGGGGTGGTACGGCGGTGGAGAGCGGTTCAATGCGGTGAACCAGAAGGGCAATGTGTTGCCCATGTTCTCGTTTGACCGCTTCACTGACGTCCCTGTACGTGCAGAGATGTGACTGTACGTGCAGAGATGTGACTGTACGTGCAGAGATGTGACTGTACGTGCAGAGATGCGACTGTACGAGCTGAGATGTGACTGTACGTGCTGAGATGTGACTGTACGTGCAGAGATGTGACTGTACGTGCTGAGATGTGACTGTACGTGCTGAGATGTGACTGTACGTGCAGAGATGTGACTGTACGTGCAGAGATGTGACTGTACGTGCAGAGATGTGACTGTACGTGCAGAGATGTGACTGTACGTGCAGAGATGTGACTGTACGTGCTGAGATGTGACTGTACGTGCAGAGATGTGACTGTACGTGCTGAGATGTGACTGTACGTGCAGAGATGTGACTGTACGTGCAGAGATGTGACTGTACGTGCTGAGATGTGACTGTACGTGCAGAGATGTGACTGTACGTGCAGAGATGTGACTGTACGTGATGAGATGTGACTGTACGTGCAGAGATGTGACTGTACGTGCTGAGATGTGACTGTACGTGCTGAGATGTTACTGTACGTGCTGAGATGTGACTGTACGTGCTGAGATGGGACTGTACGTGCTGAGATGTGACTGTACGTGTAGAGATGTGACTGTACGTGCAGAGATGTGACTGAACGTGCAGAGATGTGACTGTACGTGCAGAGATGTGACTGTACGTGCAGAGATGTGACTGTACGTGCAGAGATGTGACTGTACGTGCAGAGATGTGACTGTACGTGCTGAGATGTGACTGTACGTGCTGAGATGTGACTGTATGTGCAGAGATGTGACTGTACGTGCAGGGATGTGACTGTACGTGCTGAGATGTGACACGTGCTGAGATGTGACTGTACGTGCAGAGATGTGACTGTACGTGCAGAGATGTGACTGTACGTGCTGAGATGTGACTGTACGTGCTGAGATGTGACTGTACGTGCAGAGATGTGACTGTACGTGCTGAGATGTGACTGTACGTGCTGAGATGTGACTGTACGTGCTGAGATGTGACTGTACGTGCAGAGATGTGACTGTACGTGCAGAGATGTGACTGTACGTGCAGAGATGTGACTGTGCGTGCAGAGATGTGACTGTACGTGGAGAGATGTGACTGTACGTGCAGAGATGTGACTGTACGTGCTGAGATGTGACTGTACGTGCAGAGATGTGACTGTACATGCAGAGATGTGACTGTACGTGCAGAGATGTGACCGTACGTGCTGAGATGTGACTGTACGTGTTGAGATGTGACTGTACGTGCAGAGATGTGACTGTACGTGCAGAGACGTGACTGTACGTGCTGAGATGTGACTGTACGTGCTGAGATGTGACTGTACGTGCAGAGATGTGACTGTACGTGCTGAGATGTGACTGTGCGTGCAGAGATGTGACTGTACGTGCTGAGATGTGACTGTACGTGCTGAGATGTGACTGTACGTGCTGAGATGTGACTGTACGTGTAGAGATGTGACTGTACGGGCAGAGATGTGACTGAACGTGCAGAGATGTGACTGTACATGCAGAGATGTGACTGTACGTGCAGAGATGTGACTGTACGTGCAGAGATGTGACTGTACGTGCAGAGATGTGACTGTACGTGCTGAGATGTGACTGTACGTGCTGAGATGTAACTGTATGTGCAGAGATGTGACTGTACGTGCAGGGATGTGACTGTACGTGCTGAGATGTGACTGTACGTGCTGAGATGTGACTGTACGTGCAGAGATGTGACTGTACGTGCTGAGATGTGACTGTACGTGCAGAGATGTGACTGTACGTGCTGAGATGTGACTGTACGTGCAGAGATGTGACTGTACGTGCTGAGATGTGACTGTACGTGCTGAGATGTGACTGTACGTGCTGAGATGTGACTGAACGTGCAGAGATGTGACTGTACGTGCAGAGATGTGACTGTACGTGCAGAGATGTGACTGTACGTGCAGAGATGTGACTGTACGTGCAGAGATGTGACTGTACGTGCAGAGATGTGACTGTACGTGCAGAGATGTGACTGTACATGCAGAGATGTGACTGTACGTGCTGAGATGTGACTGTACATGCTGAGATGTGACTGTACGTGCTGAGATGTGACTGTACGTGCAGAGATGTGACTGTACGTGCAGAGACGTGACTGTACGTCCTGAGATGTGACTGTACGTGCTGAGATGTGACTGTACGTGCAGAGATGTGACTGTACGTGCTGAGATGTGACTGTACGTGCAGAGATGTGACTGTACGTGCTGAGATGTGACTGTACGTGCTGAGATGTGACTGTACGTGCAGAGATGTGACTGTATGTGCAGAGATGTGACTGTACGTGCTGATATGTGACTGTACGTGCTGAGATGTGACAGTACGTGCAGAGATGTGACTGTACGTGCTGTGGTGTGACTGTACGTGCAGAGATGTGACTGTACGTGCTGAGATGTGACTGTACGTGCAGAGATGTCACTGTACGTGCTGAGATGTGACTGTACGTGCTGAGATGTGACTCTACGTGCTGAGATGTGACTGTACGTGCAGAGATGTGACTGTACGTGCAGAGATGTGACTGTACGTGCAGAGATGTGACTGTACGTGCAGAGATGTGACTGTACGTGCTGAGATGTGACTGTACGTGCTGAGATGTGACTGTACGTGCAGAGATGTGACTGTACGTGCAGGGATGTGACTGTACGGGCTGAGATGTGACTGTACGTGCTGAGATGTGACTGTACGTGCAGAGATGTGACTGTACGTGCAGAGATGTGACTGTACGTGCAGAGATGTGACTGTACGTGCTGAGATGTGACTGTACGTGCAGAGATGTGACTGTACGTGCTGAGATGTGACTGTACGTGCTGAGATGTGACTGTACGTGCTGAGATGTGACTGTACGTGCAGAGATGTGACTGTACGTGCAGAGATGTGACTGTACGTGCAGAGATGTGACTGTACGTGCAGAGATGTGACTGTACGTGCTGAGATGTGACTGTACGTGCAGAGATGTGACTGTACATGCAGAGATGTGACTGTACGTGCTGAGATGTGGCTGTACGTGCTGAGATGTCACTGTACGTGCTGAGATGTGACTGTACGTGCAGAGATGTGAGTGTCCGTGCAGAGACGTGACTGTACGTCCTGAGACGTGACTGTACGTGCTGAGATGTGACTGTACGTGCAGAGATGTGACTGTACGTGCTGAGATGTGACTGTATGTGCAGAGATGTGACTGTACGTGCTGAGATGTGACAGTACGTGCAGAGATGTGACTGTACGTGCTGTGGTGTGACTGTACGTGCACAGATGTGACTGTACGTGCTGAGATGTGACTGTACGTGCAGAGTTGTAACTGTACGTGCTGAGATGTGACTGTACGTGCTGAGATGTGACTGTACGTGCTGAGATGTGACTGTACGTGCAGAGATGTGACTGTATGTGCAGAGATGTGACTGTACGTGCTGAGATGTGACTGTACGTGCTGAGATGTGACAGTACGTGCAGAGATGTGACTGTACGTGATGAGATGTGACTGTACGTGCAGAGATATGACTGTACGTGCTGAGATGTGACTGTACGTGCTGAGATGTTACTGTACGTGCTGAGATGTGACTGTACGTGCTGAGATGTGACTGTACGTCCTGAGACGTGACTGTACGTGCTGAGATGTGACTGTACGTGCAGAGATGTGACTGTACGTGCTGAGATGTGACTGTATGTGCAGAGATGTGACTGTACGTGCTGAGATGTGACTGTACGTGCTGAGATGTGACTGTACATGCTGAGATGTGACTGTACGTGCTGAGATGTGACTGTACGTGCTGTGGTGTGACTGTATGTGCTGAGATGTGACTGTACGTGCTGAGATGTGACTGTACGTGCAGAAATGTGACTGTACGTGCAGAGATGTGACTGTACGTGCAGAGATGTGACTGTACGTGCAGAGATGTGACTGTACGTGCTGAGATGTGACTGTACGTGCTGAGATGTGACTGTATGTGCAGAGATGTGACTGTACGTGCAGGGATGTGACTGTACGGGCTGACATGTGACTGTACGTGCTGAGATGTGACTGTACGTGCAGAGATGTGACTGTACGTGCTGAGATGTGACTGTACGTGCAGAGATGTGACTGTACGTGCAGAGATGTGACTGTACGTGCTGAGATGTGACTGTACGTGCAGAGATGTGACTGTACGTGCTGAGATGTGACTGTACGTGCTGTGGTGTGACTGTACGTGCACAGATGTGACTGTACGTGCTGAGATGTGACTCTACGTGCAGAGATGTAACTGTACGTGCTGAGATGTGACTGTACGTGCTGAGATGTGACTGTACGTGCTGAGATGTGACTGTACGTGCAGAGATGTGACTGTATGTGCAGAGATGTGACTGTACGTGCTGAGATGTGACTGTACGTGCTGAGATGTGACAGTACGTGCAGAGATGTGACTGTACGTGATGAGATGTGACTGTACGTGCAGAGATGTGACTGTACGTGCTGAGATGTTACTGTACGTGCTGAGATGTGACTGTACGTGCTGAGATGTGACTGTACGTGCTGAGATGTGACTGTACGTGCTGAGATGTTACTGTACGTGCTGAGATGTGACTGTACGTGCTGAGATGTGACTGTACGTGCTGAGATGTGACTGTACGTGCTGAGATGTGACTGTACGTGCTGAGATGTGACTGTACATGCTGAGATGTGACTGTACGTGCTGAGATGTGACTGTACGTGCTGTGGTGTGACTGTATGTGCTGAGATGTGACTGTACGTGCTGAGATGTGACTGTACGTGCAGAAATGTGACTGTACGTGCAGAGATGTGACTGTACGTGCAGAGATGTGACTGTACGTGCAGAGATGTGACTGTACGTGCTGAGATGTGACTGTACGTGCTGAGATGTGACTGTATGTGCAGAGATGTGACTGTACGTGCAGGGATGTGACTGTACGGGCTGAGATGTGACTGTACGTGCTGAGATGTGACTGTACGTGCAGAGATGTGACTGTACGTGCTGAGATGTGACTGTACGTGCAGAGATGTGACTGTACGTGCAGAGATGTGACTGTACGTGCTGAGATGTGACTGTACGTGCAGAGATGTGACTGTACGTGCAGAGATGTGACTGTATGTGCTGAGATGTGACTGTACGTGCTGAGATGTGACTGTACGTGCAGAGATGTGACTGTACGTGCAGAGATGTGACTGTACGTGCAGAGATGTGACTGTACGTGCAGAGATGGGACTGTACGTGCTGAGATGTGACTGTACGTGCTGAGATGTGACTGTATGTGCAGAGATGTGACTGTACGTGCAGGGATGTGACTGTACGGGCTGAGATGTGACTGTACGTGCAGAGATGTGACTGTACGTGCTGAGATGTGTCTGTACGTGCAGAGATGTGACTGTACGTGCTGAGATGTGACTGTACGTGCAGAGATGTGACTGTACGTGCAGAGATGTGACTGTACGTGCAGAGATGTGACTGTACGTGCTGAGATGTGACTCTACGTGCTGAGATGTGACTGTACGTGCTGAGATGTGACTGTACGTGCAGAGATGTGACTGTACGTGCAGAGATGTGACTGTACGTGCAGAGATGTGACTGTACGTGCAGAGATGTGACTGTACGTGCTGAGATGTGACTGTACGTGCAGAGATGTGACTGTACGTGCAGAGATGTGACTGTACGTGCAGAGATGTGACTGTACGTGCTGAGATGTGACTGTACGTGCTGAGATGTGACTGTACGTGCAGAGATGTGACTGTACGTGCAGAGATGTGACTGTACGTGCAGAGATGTGACTGTACGTGCAGAGATGTGACTGTACGTGCAGAGATGTGACTGTACGTGCTGAGATGTGACTGTACGTGCTGAGATGTGACTGTATGTGCAGAGATGTGACTGTACGTGCAGGGATGTGACTGTACGGGCTGAGATGTGACTGTACGTGATGAGATGTGACTGTACGTGCAGAGATGTGACTGTACGTGCTGAGATGTGACTGTACGTGCTGAGATGTGACTGTACGTGCAGAGATGTGACTGTATGTGCAGAGATGTGACTGTACGTGCTGAGATGTGACTGTACGTGCTGAGATGTGACAGTACGTGCAGAGATGTGACTGTACGTGATGAGATGTGACTGTACGTGCAGAGATGTGACTGTACGTGCTGAGATGTTACTGTACGTGCTGAGATGTGACTGTACGTGCTGAGATGTGACTGTACGTGCTGAGATGTGACTGTACGTGCTGAGATGTTACTGTACGTGCTGAGATGTGACTGTACGTGCTGAGATGTGACTGTACGTGCTGAGATGTGACTGTACGTGCTGAGATGTGACTGTACGTGCTGAGATGTGACTGTACATGCTGAGATGTGACTGTACGTGCTGAGATGTGACTGTACGTGCTGTGGTGTGACTGTATGTGCTGAGATGTGACTGTACGTGCTGAGATGTGACTGTACGTGCAGAAATGTGACTGTACGTGCAGAGATGTGACTGTACGTGCAGAGATGTGACTGTACGTGCAGAGATGTGACTGTACGTGCTGAGATGTGACTGTACGTGCTGAGATGTGACTGTATGTGCAGAGATGTGACTGTACGTGCAGGGATGTGACTGTACGGGCTGAGATGTGACTGTACGTGCTGAGATGTGACTGTACGTGCAGAGATGTGACTGTACGTGCTGAGATGTGACTGTACGTGCAGAGATGTGACTGTACGTGCAGAGATGTGACTGTACGTGCTGAGATGTGACTGTACGTGCAGAGATGTGACTGTACGTGCAGAGATGTGACTGTATGTGCTGAGATGTGACTGTACGTGCTGAGATGTGACTGTACGTGCAGAGATGTGACTGTACGTGCAGAGATGTGACTGTACGTGCAGAGATGTGACTGTACGTGCAGAGATGGGACTGTACGTGCTGAGATGTGACTGTACGTGCTGAGATGTGACTGTATGTGCAGAGATGTGACTGTACGTGCAGGGATGTGACTGTACGGGCTGAGATGTGACTGTACGTGCAGAGATGTGACTGTACGTGCTGAGATGTGTCTGTACGTGCAGAGATGTGACTGTACGTGCTGAGATGTGACTGTACGTGCAGAGATGTGACTGTACGTGCAGAGATGTGACTGTACGTGCAGAGATGTGACTGTACGTGCTGAGATGTGACTCTACGTGCTGAGATGTGACTGTACGTGCTGAGATGTGACTGTACGTGCAGAGATGTGACTGTACGTGCAGAGATGTGACTGTACGTGCAGAGATGTGACTGTACGTGCAGAGATGTGACTGTACGTGCTGAGATGTGACTGTACGTGCAGAGATGTGACTGTACGTGCAGAGATGTGACTGTACGTGCAGAGATGTGACTGTACGTGCTGAGATGTGACTGTACGTGCTGAGATGTGACTGTACGTGCAGAGATGTGACTGTACGTGCAGAGATGTGACTGTACGTGCAGAGATGTGACTGTACGTGCAGAGATGTGACTGTACGTGCAGAGATGTGACTGTACGTGCAGAGATGTGACTGTACGTGCAGAGATGTGACTGTACATGCAGAGATGTGACTGTACGTGCAGAGATGTGACTGTACGTGCTGAGATGTGACTGTACGTGCTGAGATGTGACTGTACGTGCAGAGATGTGACTGTACGTGCAGAGATGTGACTGTACGTGCAGAGATGTGACTGTACGTGCAGAGATGTGACTGTACGTGCAGAGATGTGACTGTACGTGCTGAGATGTGACTGTACGTGCAGAGATGTGACTGTACATGCAGAGATGTGACTGTACGTGCTGAGATGTGATTGTACGTGCTGAGATGTGACTGTACGTGCTGAGATGTGACTGTACGTGCAGAGATGTGACTGTACGTGCAGTGATGTGACTGTACGTGCTGAGATGTGACTGTACGTGCTGAGATGTGACTGTACGTGCTGAGATGTGACTGTACGTGCTGAGATGTGACTGTACGTGCTGTGGTGTGACTGTACGTTCTGAGATGTGACTGTACGTGCTGAGATGTGACTGTACGTGCTGTGGTGTGACTGTACGTGCTGAGATGTGACTGTACGTGCAGAGATGTGACTGTACGTGTTGAGATGTGACTGTATGTGCTGAGATGTGACTGTACGTGCTGAGATTTGACTGTACGTGCTGAGATGTGACTGTACGTGCTGAGATGTGACTGTACGTGCTGAGATGTGACTGTACGTGCTGAGATTTGACTGTACGTGCTGTGGTGTGACTGTACGTGCTTAGATGTGACTGTACGTGCTGAGATGTGACTGTACGTGCTGTGGTGTGACTGTACGTGCTGAGATGTGACTGTACGTGCTGAGATGTGACTGTACGTGCAGAGATGTAACTGTACGTGCTGATATGTGGCTGTGTCTGTTGAAATGTGACTGCATGTGACGTGACCTCATTGGACACTCATAAAAGCCCGCGTGGCCCACATTGCGGATTGCCATTTTGGGAGCTTACATAGCAGTGGCTAAAGCTGCTATGCAACTTAGTGAACGGGCAAGATTGCTGATGTTGCTCGACTTTGCTTCACCTCCCCAACCACCCAGCACTCAACCTGAGCAAGATGAATCATCTTGCACAATTTGATCTGCGAGCTTTAAGCCTTTCTGCACAAGCATTATTACACGTGACATTAATAGTTGGGAAGGGAGAAATACAGCTAGTGGGAAATTTCGTTTTGATTTGTGCCGAGATGCCAACTCTGTAATGAAAACATACATTACGACAAAAAAATGCTGTGGCACACCTCATGTCCTTTGTCAGTTGAGTGATGGTGAGTGGTTGGGTTTGAGTGTGAAGAGCGTGGAAATACACTTGCAGGGAATGCCACGTGTGCATTTCTTGTTAAGAGGACCATCATGCACAAAGGAACAGTGTCAGGCGTGATTTGATTCGCGAGGAACAATGAGAATTTACACTGGAAATCGGATATTCGCATACTTTACACACAAGTACCTCCGGAAATATCATACAATCTACGACATTCAGAACAGATCTAGGCCGACCCAAAGCTCAAACTAGTTCCAGGCAACTGTAAACGCAAGTTGACATCAAGCGTAAACTTAGACGTAGACCCCACGCATACTCACACATGAGAAATAGCTAGTTACACACGAGCTAGTTACACACGAGCTAGTTACACACGAGCTAGTTACACACGAGCTATTACTCAACCCACTCGCCCATCATCCCTTCCTGCCCATCTCCACACCTCCTTCCTGCCCGGATCCCCATGGTGTGTGCGTACTGCCCCCAGGCGCAGCGCAGCTACAAGCCGGTGCCGTTTGTGATGAGCAGCAGCGGGTACGGCGTGTGGGTGCAGTCCTATGCCAACGGCTCCTTCAGCCTCGGTGCCCCCGACGAGCCTGACATGCTGGTATGGGTGGGGTGCACAGGTGGGTGCGTGCGTGCTGCTCAGCGGATGGCTGTTTTATCACACTTTCCTTTCTCTGCTCAGAGGATGGCTGTTTTATCACACTTTCCTTCCTCTGCTCAGAGGATGGCTGTTTTATCACACTTTCCTTCCTCTGCAACCTCTCAACCCTGCATCCCCCTCCGTCTCTCCTGCGACTCCTCTTCCCACATCACCCAACGGTGCCTACGTGTGATGCATGGGTGCGTAGCACTGCTGCCTGGACGGCAGTCGGTGGACCCCACACTTCATCCACTAAACTCTACCTCTCCTTCTCCTCACACCTCCTTTCCCTGACTCCTTTTCCGTCTCCCCCATCGCCTCGCCCCATCGTGCCTCGCCCCTCCCACCAGGCCATCCGCTACAGGGAGCAGCAGCTGCGCGTGGTGTTCATCGCGGGCCCCTCGCTGCTCGCTGTGCTCTCCGAGTTCACCCGCCTCTCCGCGCGCCCCTCCATGCCGCCCGACTGGGCCTTTGCGCCCTGGAAGGGCCGAGACGTGCATTTCAATTGCTCGCAGGTGAGAGCTCTGGAATGGATGTGCTTGAGAATGCATGTATGAGCTGAGGCATGTGGGATGATGGATGGCAGCCAGAGGGGGAGCTTGTTGTGTGATGCCATCATATGCATTCACATCTGAGTCATGCTTTATGCACTTGGTAACGCATTCTGTCTTGCTCAACTTCACGCCCAAGAGGGAAGCTCGATGTGCGAACCAATGATGGCGAGGTCACACAATGACCCAGGTTCATGGCAGTGTGCCGTGGGTGAGAGCGTGAGCTGGCAGCGCTGGTGGACGCCATGCGTGTGCTCTGCTGCTCTCCCCACTGCTGCCGCCTGCTGTGCCGTGCAAGCACTGCACCCACCGCCGCCACTTCTCCCTGCGTGCCAACACCTGCAGGTGGTGGAAGATGCGGAGAAGCTGCGGCAGCAGGGCATACCGGGGTCGGTGATTCTGATAGACAGCCCGTGGGAGACAGGCTACAACGACTTCGCCATCAACCGCCTCCAGTTCCACGACCCGGACGACATGTTCCTGCGCCTCGAGGAGCTGGGGTGAGTCGCTCAATCCAAGCTGCCCTCATGTTTGCAGCCACTTCAACAACACCTCTCTCTCACCATGCTCTCTCCGAGGCACTCCTCCTCCCTCACCGTACACCTCCTACATTCCTCCCTCCCCTCTCTCTCCCACCGCCACCTTTGCCACCAACCGTTTCCCCCCTAAACCCCCCCTCCCCCGCTGTGGCTGGCAGGTTCTACAACATCTTCTGGGCCACGCCCTTCATCAACCGCGCCAACCGAGTGGACATGCCCGGCATCACCGCAGGGCCCGCAGCCATCTTCCACGAGGCAGACAGCAAGGGCTTCCTCGTGCAGCAGGAGGGGGGCGGCTCGCAGGTGAGGGGGCGGGGCTTGCAGCTGGGGAGGGTGTGTGTGGGTTGCAGTGGGAACAGTGGGGAAGTGGTGGCAAGCCGTTCAAGAGCGGGCTACAGATCGTGGTCATGAAGAAGGAAGGAAGAAGGGCAGCAGTGGGAAGAAGAGTCGTTCTAGCAAAGAGACGATAGTCACTTTGTGAAATTTGTAACCCTTGAAAACACTGAGTTAGATCCGAACGTACAGCTCAATTCAAACTCTAGAGTTAGGCAAGCATGTTTCGGCTTTGCACGGGGTTCATACCCGCTAGGCCTTCATGAGTGCGAGAGTTCAAGTGAAAGAGCGAACAAGCGAGGGGTCTAAACGAACAACCAAGCCTCGAGATCTACAAAGGGAAATCCTACTCTGGGCGCGTAACTAGATAGGAAATGTGCCAATCCAACTAGACACGAAAAAATATTCTTAGGTGGTGTCCAGTCACTCTACAGCTTTGTCTTCGGCAGTCTTCATACTGGGTGGTGGTAACATCGCGCAAACCAGGCACTATTTCACGTTACGTGCACACTTCGAAGCAACAAAAAAACTGATCAATACAAAGATTGTGGGTAGAGAGACGGCTTTTGAGGTGGCTGAAAAGGAAGGGGCGTCCAAGGGTGGGCAGTGCGCACCAGTGCTCCACACCCCCCTGCCCCGGCACTGCCACCTGTTCTCCCACGTGCATTTCTCCGCAATTCACCCTTCCCAGCCTGCTCTTCCTTGCCTTGGCATGGTTAATCTAGTCGAGTTTTGATGTGGCTCGATCTAAAGTCAAGTCGAGTTGGTTATTGTCTTTTCTCGACTCGACTCAACTTGAGTTGAGTCGGCGTGCGGGGGAAGGTCGATGCGTCGGCGTGTCGATTGAAGGCAGATGAGCCAACCATGAGTCGGCGTGTCGATTGAAGACAGATGAGCCAACCGTGAGTCGGCGTGTCGATTGAAGACAGATGAGCCAACCATGAGTCGGCGTGTCGATTGAAGAGAGATGAGCCAACCATGAGTCGGCGTGTCGATTGAAGGCAAATGAGCCAACCATGAGTCGGCGTGTCGATTGAAGACAGACGAGCCAACCATGAGTCGGCGTGTCGATTCGAGGTGTGCTGACTCGAGAGTCACCAACATGAGTTGTGAGAATTTCTGTTCTCCATTTCCCCCATGTCATGCAATTTCCCTCCGCCACTCAATTTTCTGTGTGTACAAGAACATGGTACGGGGGGCAGGTGGGAGGAGAAGGTGGATGCTTTTCGATGCATGCTCTGCCAGATACCGAGCTTTGTTGTTTCATGCCTTATCATAACCCAATTGTGTTTTGTGGAGCGGGGCTGGGAAACACCTAAAGGTTGACTCAAATCCAGTCTGACTCGCGATTTGAGTGGCTCTTCTCCAACACTTGAGGCACGAGTTGGCAGTTTGAAAGAACCGACTCAACTCTCGACTCGGCTCGACTCGACTCATGACCATGTCTCATGACCATGTCTCATCATGACCATGTCTCATCATGACCATTTCTCATCATGACCATGTCTCATCATGACCATGTCTCATGACCATGTCTCATGACCACGTCTCATCATGACCATGTCTCATCATGACCATGTCTCATGACCACGTCTACGCTGCCTGCTTTTCCCTGCCTGTTCGGCCCTGCGTGTTCTCGTGGCTTGATGCGCGCAACACCAGATAGTGAAGTGGTGGAAGGGCGAGGGCGGGCGGGTGGACTTCACGAGTGAGGCAGCGGTGGCGTTCTGGCAGGCGGCCATGAACGCCACGCTGCAGTGGCCCACGGCGCGCGGCTTCAAGTGTGACGACGGCGAGGGCAACTACTTCCAGCCCGGCGCTGCCTTCCACGACGGCTCGCCCCTTTCAGTCATGAAGACGCGGGTCAGCCGCCCTCCTGCCACGCCGCCCCCTGCCCTGCTTTGCCCTGCCCTCCCCTGCATTGCGTGCTGCATGCTGTATACTCACTGCTGCATGCTGTATACTCACTGCTGCATGCTGTATACTCACTGCTGCATGCTGTATACTCACTGCTGACTGCTTGTCTGTGATTTCATTCCTTGGCCGCTTTCTGCCATTCATGCATCCTCGCATGTGTGCATCCTCGCATGTGTGCATCCTCGCATGCACCCTGGCAGTACGTGGAGGTGTATCTGGCAGCCATGGGGGCGTTCATAGACAAGTACCTGCAGGGGGACGGGGTGCTCATGGCCAGGAGTGGCTTCACCGGCACCGGCAAGTGAGTGCCACACCGCTCATCACTTTCACAAACCGTCGGCAACGACTGAGTCGGTGACTGTTGATTCATGCCGCCAAGCTGGTCTTCAGCTACCATCCCACCTTCCCTTGTCATCCGCTGTCCACCTCCACGTGCACGCTCCACGGTGTCCTGTCGCTGTAGGCTGCCACCATCATATCTCTTCTTTGCTCTTTTGAAACATCAACCATGTATTGAAAAGGTTCTGTTCTGACCATTAAGGCTTAGTGTAGAACTCTTGTGTCCTTGAAGGTTCGGAGAGTCTGGTTGTGGGGAAACTGGATTGCTATTGTGACTGTGCATGCATTGTGCATGGCAGTCAGTAGAGAGCACAGCCTTCATGGATAGCTGCTCAGCCCATGGCCGATGATCATCTTCTCCCAGGCCAAGATTGGGGCGATCTGCCAAATACTTCACTGTATCTTTTCAACCATTCTAAGCCATCAGCGAGTGTTGTGAGCACGTGGTGTGGGTGGGTGGCGCAGGTCGTTCGTGTGGGCGGGCGACCAGCGCGCCAACTGGAACCGCACGGAGGGCTTCCCGTCGGTCATCATGGCGGGGCAGACGGCAGCGCTGTCGGGGTTCTTCCTGTGGGGCAGCGACATCGCGGGGTACTTTGGCAAGACCATCGACAAGGAGCTCTTCATCCGCTGGAGCCAGTTCGGGTGCGCTGTGGGGAAAGTGGGGGGGAGGAGTGGGAGGGGGGGGGGGGGGGGGGGGGGTGGGTGGTGCGGGGACGGGGGAGGGGGGGTGCATAGGTTCCCAAGAGTGAGGTCTGAAAAGAGATGATTCGCAAGACATGAATCGCATGGAGAATGGGCAAGCGGGCTCTTACAAAGGACTTCACGGATGTCAAAACGAGCTCGACCAAGGTGAGAAGAAAATAAATCTACCTTTTAGCAAATTAAGCCGTTTAATCTATTGCTATTACTAGTGGAAAAAGAAGAACACAATGATTCTGGTGACACACACGATGAAGATATTAGCTGCACAGAAGGTTGCCTTGTGAGACAGAGGCCTTGGATGCCTTGTGAGACAGAGGCCTTGGATGCCTTGTGAGACAGAGGCCTTGGATGCCTTGTGAGACAGAGGCCTTGGATGCAGGAATGAGGGCAGTTTACCAAGAAGGTCTTTGCGAGCACACGAGAACATGAGCACATGAGCACGCGCATGTGTTTCGTTTGTCTATGTATTGTGTGCATGTATTGTGTGAGAAACGAGTGCTTACCTTCTCTTACTGTCTGCTATTCCGTAAAAAGAGCAAGGGTATAAAATAAGTAAGACTGATGAAAGAGGATGCGATGATGGATAGAAGCAAACACAACCTTGCAACCTCCTGAATGAGCCGGATGGAGGTCACCTGCTGAATGAGCCGGATGGAGGTCACCTGCTTGCGTTCCTTCACCCGCACCACCTCCATCGTGCCCCCCTATGCCCCCATGCGCTCCCCCACCTGATGCACCGGTTCAGGCACTCATCAACGTTGTTCTCTCCATTCCTCCCCACCCCACTTGTATCCTGTCTTGTCGAACCCCCACCTCCCAGCGCGCTATCCCCGCTGATGCACCAGTTCGGGCAGGCCAACAACGGCCCGTGGGACTACGATGCCGTCACGCTGCGCATCTACCGCCGCTTCGCCCGCCTGCACATGGCGCTCTTCCCCTACCTCAAGGCCGCCGCACTCGCCAGCGCCACGCACGGTCTCCCCATCCTCTGCGCCATGCCGCTCGCCTTCCAAGGCGACCCTGAGGCTGCCTCCCCGCAGTGGCAGTGGCAGTACAGGTTCGGCCCGGACCTGCTGGTGGCTCCGGTGTACGAGCCTGGGGTGACGCAGGCGACAGTGTACCTGCCTGGGGGCAGTGCGTGGGTGCACTTCTGGGCGCCCAACGGTGTGCTCCTGCAGGGCGGGGCCGCCGTGCAGGTGGCGGTGCCGCTGCATGAGACGGCGCTGTACGTGCGGGCGGGGGCGCTGATAGAGAGTATAGAGGAGGACGTGGACACGCTGGTGCCGCCCTCCGACAAGCTGCACCCCGACGTCAAGACCATCGGCAGGTGTGCCTTGCCTTGCATCCTCGCCACCCATCATCCTCGCCACCCATCATCCTCGCCACCCATCATCCTCGCCACCCATCATCCTCGCCACCCATCATCCTCGCCACCCATCATCCTCGCCACCCATCATCCTCGCCACCCATCATCCTCGCCACCCATCGTCCTCGCCACCCATCATCCTCGCCACCCATCATCCTCACCCTCGCACATGCCTCCTTCCGTTCGCACTCTTGGCCCTCATCATGCCTTGTCTCATTCGTTACTTCCCCCTTTCTTGCACATCAGCCTCATCCCCTACCCCCCACCCCTTCCCTCTGCCACAGTGTGCGCATCCTGCAGGTGTGGCCGGGCATCCCCTCGCAGCCATCATCGCTGGCATCGCTGCTCGCCCCCTTCCACGCCACGCTCACCGCGCGCCCCGTGCCGCAGGCGCACGGGCGGCACCGCGTGGTGCTGCAGCTGCGGGCGAGTGAGCGTGTGGAGCTGTCACTGCGCTTCATGCACGGGCAGCGCCTGCGGCAGCCCAGTGTGCGGCGCAGCAAGCGCGAGCAGGTGGGCGTGGCGTGTGCGGCGGGCAACTACCTGGGCGTGGAGGGGCTGCACTGTGCTGTCGTGCTGGAGGCGGGGGTCACCGAGGTGGTGTGGGAGTATGGGGAGTAACAATGTCTGCCTATGTCAGTGATTGGGCAAGAGGCCTGTGCCAACCAGGCCAAGTGATTGAGCGGTGCTGGCACTCATGGACTTCCTACTTGTACCCCGTGTATGCCTCATTCTATCGTAGCCATCATTCTTCTAGTTCTATTTCTGACCAAATTCGAATCAACACATCACAAAGTGCACGCCGCCTGGCCTAGCATGACTAGAATGTGTGCATAGCATGCAGTGCTATACCAAACTCTTATCAACACGGCACAATGTGCATGCCGCCTGGCCTAGCATGAATAGAATGTGTGCACACGGTAGCATACAGCGCTACACCAAACTCTAATTAACACAGCACAAAGTGCATGCCGCCTGGCCTAGCATGACTAGAATGTGTGCATAGCATACAGCAGGAGAAAAAACATACTACCGCGAGTCTCTCCTGGCGTACACAATTTTTCTCCACAACCTCTCTCCCTCCGAGCAGCTTGGCATTCGTTCCTTTAATACGGGGCTGGCTCTCGCGCAAGTGTCTTGGGATTACATGCGCAACTCATACATGGCAACAGATTCAATGACAATGAGTCACCTATTCAGCCAACTGACATTAGCCAAAATGACTCAAGGGGAGAAAGCGGGACCGTATGTTCATCGCTGCCGAAACCTGCGCGATCAGTTTAAGAGATGTGGAGGCGACGTCTGTGACGATATGGTCCTCACCATAGGCCTCTCGAGACTAACTCCAGAGTGACGACAATACAAGTCACTGCTTCGCACTCGTGGAGCCGTCTCCGAAGCCGCCCTCTGCTCCACACTTCTCTCCGAGCAGTAGGAGATTGACCTATACAATGAAAGAAACAACAAGAAAGAGAAGTTAGTTTTCTACGCTGACGCAACTGAAGGGGAGTCGCACGAGAAGAACGTTTACTTCTGCAAGTACTGCAAGAAGCCGGAAAAAGAAAAACGAAAAAACGCATAAAACAAAACGCAACATCAACCTACCCGGCCATCAGCATCAACCCGCAGCTCGCCCTTCAACGCCAGCAGCGACATCAACCGTGTCGCGACCCACCGTTGCAAGCACCTCGCAAGCTCCTGCACGCATTTCGGCCAAAGATAAAGGAGAAGGGACAATCTTGACCTGCATGGCGCATCGCAGAGGCCTTTGCTACCACAACAGGGCTCAATTTCCGCCAATCATACCAACCACGCCCATCACACTGAGTCCAAACAATGAATCTACAATCGGAATCTCGAGCGACGGGCCGACAAATCTCCCACCTGACTACGAGTTGCCGCCAAGCACGCCCGTGTCCCCTACCCTCGACCCCGGCTTTCGCGCAACACACGAAAACGACCTTTCGAGCTTCTATGTTGACCTTGACCGCATCATCACCCCAAGATCGTGAGCATCGCACGTCAGAGCCGCAATAACTTTAACAAGTGGTATTTTGATAGAAGCTGCAGACAACACCTGGTGGGATCGTCAGAATTCATTAGCAACTCGAAGACGCTGCGACGACTATGCGAAATAACCGTCGCCAACAACAATCGAATGAAGGCTGACAACATCGGCGAAATATACTTACAGTCGATCGACACCTTCTTCCCCATTCACATAGGAGATGTATCGGTGGTCGCAGACCTTCAGTTCAATCTCATCTCTACAGCACAAATCATGAAATACGGAATTGAGATTCGGAGCAGTTGCGAAAAAAAAAAAGAGCTTCGAACTCTTCTACAAGAAGAATTACGCCAACAAGGCCATGTTGAGGAGTTGAAATTCGAATCGCAGGAGAACGATGGAGACTCCGACAGGACGCTCCTACTAAAAACAACTACCACGGAAGCACCAACTTGGTCGCACCCTAAAGAGACGGATCTTCAACGCTCTTGACCAGACGGCTTCTTTTGTTCACGTGCCGTCCCAATTGCCTCAATCTCTGCTCACGGGGACACCGGATTTGCATAATGGAAGTAGAAGTAGACAGCGGGGCATCAGCATTTGCAGCACTCCCAAAAACATGAGGATGGGGAAATACAAATACAACTACTCTTGGTTGGACCAACACCGGCGTCATGATCGAAGCAAAGGGGGTGCCACAAACACCAGAGGAGAGCGGATGGAGAACTTCCGCAATCCCAAGAGGATGGGCACCACCAAGCCTGTTCGCGGAAGCTCTGACATTCCCTCCCGGGGCTATGGCGGGAAGAGACCCTTAGTGGGCAACTCGCAGCACCAGCTAGGGTGGACCTCCTCTTTCGGATCAATATGCATACGAACCTGCAGAGGAAGAACAAGAGGAGTCAGAAAGCATGGTGTACGATTTTGGAGAAGCAGCAGAGCTACTTGAACCTACCGAGGAAGCACCACCGTCAGAAGAAAGACCTCAACTGATCTCGGTCACTGGCGATGAATACCTCTACCATCGAATTCCAATGGAGGGATTCGCCGCTTCCGAGTGGCCAGTACAACATCGCCTCCAACTCAACAGCTCATGCTAGTTATCGACAACTTCATCTACGTTTCCGACACAAACAATATCGTCGGGATCCCCAAGTTTGACCTAGAGCAAGCGTCCACTCGAGCCTTCGCAGTCGACGTACGTGCCACACTCGACAAAGGAACTGCAGCACCACAGCAAGAGGAAGAGGAGAGAAACAGATATTACAAAAGGACAGACGGCTACTGCACTACTCCTGAAATTTGGCACCAGCGGCTCGGATATCCTTCACACGCCACTCTCAATAACTCAATCGAAGCTGAAGTCTTCGACAAAAGCGGCTTACTCCTACCCAGTGGTGATACACTCAAATTGACAACGGACGATCCGTCGTGCATCATCTGCCCGACTACATCACTTGCGCACAAACCCTTTCTTGACTTACCTCCATGCTACGAATGATTGAGCCGCTCGAAAAAAATTACAGCGACTTCATGATATCCATCGATGCCAATAAGCGCTACGTCTGGGCCGTCAAAATCAACTATCGGACTCCCGCCTTTGCTTGATTCGTGTTCTGGATTATGAAAGCTGAGCATCAATCGAACGACAGCATGGAGAACTTTTCTACCGAGTTTAAAGAGCTCTTCGCAAAGAAAGGGATTCATCATCTGGTGTCTCTGCCATACGCGCACTAGCAGCAACGAGTAGCAGAACGGACAAACAAGAGTCTCGCCATAAGGACCAGAGCCCTCATGTTGTCCTATCGCCACCGCGAAATTGGGCGGCCGTTTTCGTCGGCTGAGGTATATCATCCCGAAGCAGTCTGCCATCCAAAAAAAGTATTGGCCGTTCACGATCAACCATGTTGTTCGGCTGCACAACTTGCTGTTATCTCGAAGCCTCAAGAACAACATCTCACCTTACAACGCTTGTACGGGCAGAAAAGCTGACACGCGTCTGCTCCGAGTGTTTGGCTGCATCGTATACTACAGAACTCACACGGCGAGAACCGGAAAATTTACTGACCGAGCATGCTGGGGCATCTACATCATAGTCGAAAAGGAGTTCAAGGCTTGGATCATGCTAGACTGCACGATACAAGAAGTTTGAGGATCTAGGATCGAGCTTGTGAAAGAGAGTTTGAATTGAATGATCCACTTGGGTACAACACGAGGCTACATATAGTCTCAACACAAGGCCAATTATGTGAGAGTACGACGGCTTATGCCAGCTATGCTTGCTTGCCTTTACTTTATCATGCTATTTCTAGCATAGGATAATCATATGCATGCATGAATTGCTTGATTTCCTAGGCTAGGTGCTTTCCTATATTTTATTATAGTTATAGCACCGAGCTAGGTTGCGTGCACCGAATTCTGGCTTTTTCGGTTGCCACCGAATTGCCCTCTACCGAATTTGGTAAGGATCTGTTCGGGACGCTACGCGGCTCGCGGAACCTTCGCGTAACACCTGGTTACGGGGCCTTGTGTCGAGCCTATATATAGCCTCGTGTTGTACCCAGGTGATCATTCATTTCGACTCAATTCTCATTCTCTTTTCTAAGCTCGATCCTAGATCCTCACACTTGGTAATCAGAGCCCGTTTACACGCGAAGTTCTTTCGACCGCTAAAAACCAGTCTTCAAAAACCGCGGGGGCGACGCAGTTAAACATCGATTTCGGGTTCGTAAAACCGGTTCCGTGTTTTTCACTCCCCCTCGATTCGGTTTTTCGGACGCGTTGATGTCAGGCATGGAGGGCCAAGGCGACAACTACGCGACTACGAGCGACATCGCGAGCCTCCGCACCGACATGGAGCAGACGCAGGCGATGCTTCGTCGACTCGAGGATTTTCTAACAAGCCAACCAGGGTTCGCCACCGCAGCAGCAGCGACCGCAGCGACTGTAGCACCGACAACTCCAGCAGTAGTGGCGACACTGACATTTCACGGACCAATGGCACCACTGTCGCCGAACCTCGAAGCAGCACGACCGAGGCTCCCGGAGGCGTTCGATCCAAGCGCGAAGGGATCTGACGTCCGGCGATTCGTGGCCACCCTCGAGATTTACTTCGAGGCCATTGGCTGTTCGACCCCGCAACACGATGCAGCAAGGATTCGGCTCGCAGCGACACTATCACGTGGACCGGCTCTCAAATGGATTTACTACACCGACGTAGCCCGTAGGGAGAAAACGTGGCAGCAGTTTCGGGCAGATTTAATCGAGCGTTTCGAACCAATTAATAAAACCTACATGGCGCGGCATCAGATACACCGACACAAGCAATACAGTAGTGTAACACAGTACACGCAGCAGATGGAGTTACTGTTCAACCGCATCACCGACCTGACCGAAGGCGAAAAAATCCAGGCGTACAGCGAAGGGTTATAAATGGAGATTCGGCGGCAGGTGATTGCGGCGAATTACAACAGCTACAGAGACATCGTGCGTGCTGCCGAGCGATACGACGCGCTGACTCGAGGTCAACCCGAAACACGACGCTTCACGCCGAACCGTACATTCGGCACGGAGCGATCGGCACCCCCCACGTTCGCCGAACCGATGGATATCG